GCATGCTACTCTTCTTCTACAGAAAATAAACTAAGAAATACAATTGAGGGGGGAGGATTAAAGCTCTGCTTAAATGACGTGGAACAAACACTTTCTAAGGGACACAGGTGCCATCTGCAGTTTAATTTGAGAACTGGTTCTAAATGGTAAAATATTCTACCTCATCTTTACTTAAGATCTCACATTGCCCAGGTTCCTCCCCCTAAATGTCTAGGTATGCCTCGCTCGGTCAGAGGATCAGATTCCCCTCCTCACCTCACTTTTTCTACCTAGGAAGTCTTTTTCTAAGAGATCAAAAATATATAAATCCTCAATACACGAGGAACTTCTAGATACTGGAAAATTATTTTTCTTAAAACTGATCAGCACTCAGAATACAAATAATATAATAAAGTTTACTGTTTTGATAAGGAGGTTCTCACCAGTGACAATGGTGGAAAGGATCCCCTGAGTTCTCCTGGCTGAATCCTGTGCTCTAGTCAAAGAGAATTTTCCCACGAGCTGGGAACAGAAAAAATTACATTCACATGTTCTCAACTCTGGCCATCCACATACTGAGATTCCAGGAGGAAGTTTTAAAAAGTTAGACAGATTTATTGCAACAGTATATATCCTTGGGAAACATTCTCTGGTGACAGAAAAAAGGCTTTGTGATTGCCTCGTCTGGACTGCATGCTGATGCTGATTCCTGGACACATAACACCCATGGGACTGTTTATTAAAGAGAAGAGTGAGGAGACAAAGTGGAATCAGAGGTCTCCTTTCCCCCTTATTTTCTGGCCTGACTATGGTTTATATGTCGAAGTCCCAGTGAATTGGAGAATTTACTTACTATAGGGATTGTTAATTTATTCCCAGGGAGTCAAATTTTAATGTGTGTGTGAGTGTCTGAGTGGGAGTGTAGAGATACACATGTGTATCATTAAAACTGGCACCTCGGCGAGTTTACATGTAGGAAGGAACAGCTTCATATGGTTCTACTACATTATGTCAGGGAAGTTAACACTGTGAGTGGGTGTGAGAGAAGTCTATAACTACTAAAAAGTTAAATCCTTCAAGAAATAAAACACAGAGGTTAGAACTTGACTGCGACTTACAGTTCCAAATGAAATTTTTTTTTAAAGATTTTGTTTATTTGACAGAGAGACACAGCGAGAGAGGGAACACAAGCAGGCAGAGGGAGAGGGAGAAGCAGGCTTCCTGCTGAGCAGGGAGCCCAACGCGGGACTCAATCCCAGGACCCCGGGATCATGACCTGAGCCGAAGGCAGACGCTTAACGACTGAGCCACCCAGGCACCCCTGAAATTAATTTTTAATATGGGTACAGGCCTAAAAATTAATTCAATTTTTTCTCCTTCCCACTAATGTCGATTACCTATATTTGGAATTTATATTTGATGGCAGAATAACATATATTTATTATATACACAGGAATATTATTACAACCTATTGTATTATGATTGGATTATCACAGTCGATTCATATGGTGAGGTATAGACAAAGCATCTGAAAAAGGGAATTAGTGGTGGGAATAAATTTCAGAGGGACTAATGAGAAATTTCTGGCTAACAGATAAAGAATGGCATATAAAGGGCTTACACTACCTGCGAAAGGTTTGTGGGCATGTTATCATTATTCCAATCCATTTAAACCAGGAAAATTGAAACCATTATATAACATATAATTATATTCATACTTATTTTTTCCCATTTTTTTCTGCCCACTTAAGAGTCTTATAAGTAAAGAGATGGAAAAATAATGATTTTCACATATTTTAAAGTGTATCAAATATTCCACAATGCTAATAACTGTCTAAGGTGAAGAAATAACAAAAAAATCATACTGAGTAATTCACACTAGTGGTCACTTTCCCGGACATTATTCATGTTTGATCCTCACAAGAATTCAATGAAGACGGCAGAAGTGATGCTATATGACTTTGAGTCAAGGTCATTAAAACGCCATATATTTCTCTTTGTACCCTTAAGATGTTTGCTTTCAACCAAGCCACTATGCTGTGAGGAGTCAAAGTGGCCACAAGGATAGGACACCTGCAGGTATTTGGACTAGGACCCCAAGGGAGAACCAAGCAACTGCCAGATATGCGACTAAGTGAGGTGGCCTCAGATGATTGTGGCCTCCAGCCCTCAAGTCATCTCCAGCCTTGAGCCATCCCAGCTGAAGTCACATGTAGTGAGAGATGAGTTGTCCAAACAAAGCCATGCTCAAGCTTCATGAACAGAATGAATGGTGATTGTTGTTTCAACACTAACCACTGTGTGGGAAGTTTTGTCATAAAACAGTCGATAACTGGAATATAGGTACCACTATCCATATTTTTACAAAGGACACAACAGCACAGTCTTGGCTAACCCAGTATCATGTAGCTGAATATGTCAGAACCAAGGAGCATATCCAGGTCATTTAATCTCAAGTCTAGAGCTCTTTGCTCTATACCACAAATGATCAATGAATAAAGCATGTTTTTCTGCAATCAATAACTCACAAATTGTGAATTGTCCCTTATAAATATTGACACATTTTTTCATTTTTATTGACTTGCTGAAGTCTACTAATGCTGTAAAACTTAGAAAATCCACTGGCTATTCTAGCCATATACATTAGTGATTATAATTAAGGTGAATCTGCCAGAGATGATGAGAACAAGGCTATAATAAAAGAATGATAGAAACTAAAAACTAACAATCTATAAATTACTCTACAAAATTTAAAAATTGACTTGTTTTGTCATTGTTTCTGGAGATTTCCTCTGATCCTTTCTTATCTTTGTCCCTTTTCGTCTCTCCTTAACACTCAAGAGTCCCCTTTAATATTTCTTGCAGGGCTGGTTTAGTGGTCATGAGCTTCTTTAGTTTTTTTTTTTTTTTTTTAAGATTTATTTATTTATTTGAGAGAGCGAGAAAGTACATGAGAGGGGGGAGAGTTAGAGGGAGAAGCAGGCTCCTCGCCGAGCAGGGAGCCTGATGTGGGACTCGATCCAGGGACTCCAGGATCATGACCTGAGCCGAAGGCAGTCGCTCAACCAACTGAGCCACCCAGGCGCCCGAGCTTCTTTAGTTTTTGTCTGGGAAACTCTTTATCTTTCCTTACATTCTGGTGATAGCTTTGCTGGATAGAGTATCTTGGCTGCAGATTCTTCCCATTCAGCACTTTGAATATATCATGCCACTCCCTGCTGGCTTGCCAAGTTTGTTGAGAAGTCTCCAGCTAGCCTTATGGGTTTTCCCTTGTAAGTTAAGGACTTCTTTTGTCTTGCTGCTTTTAATATTTTTTCATCATTATATTTTGCAAATGTAATTACAATATGTCTTGGTGCTGGCCTGCTTTTGTTGATTTTCATGGGAGCTCTCTGTGCCTCCTGGATCTGGATGACTGTTTCCTTCCCCAGATTAGGGAAGTTTTCCACTATTATTTCTTGAAATAAATTTTCTGTTCCATTTTCTTTCTCTTCTTCTTTTGGGACTCCAATAATATGAATATTACTACATTTGATAGAGTCACTGATTCCCTAAGTCTATTCTCATGTTGTATAATTCTTCTTTCTCTCTCTTGTTCAGCCTCATTATTTTCCATTATTTTGTCTTCTAGGTCACTAAATCATTCCCCTGCTTCTGCCAGCCTGTTGTTCATTGCATCATGCCTGTTTCCAATCTCGTTTATTGCATTCTTCATCTCTGATTCTTTTTTAATTCTTTTATCTCTGTTGTAAGGGTCCAAACGGCAATAAATACATATCTATCAATAACAACTTTCAAGGTAAATGGAATAAACGCTCCAATCAAAAGACACAGGGTGTCAGAATAGATTAAAAAAACAAACCCATCTATATGCTGCCTATAAGAGACTCATTTTAGACCTAAAGACACATGCAGATTGAAAGTGACGGGATAGAGAAATATTTATCATGCAAATGGATGTCAAAAGAAAGTCAGATTAGCAATACTTACATTGGGCAAACTAGAATTTTTTTGTTCTTGTATTGTTTTTGTCCTGCATTGGTGTCAGGGTAGTAATGGCCTCATGGAATGATTTTGAATATATTTCCTCTATTCCTAGGGGAATTATTTGTAAGATTTGTGAGATTTTGATAAAATTGTCATTAATTTTTTTTTTTTTTTTTTTAATTTTTGGTAGAATTCACCAATGAAACCATGTGGTCTTTGGCTTTTCTGTGTTGGGAGATTTTTGATTCCTAATTCAACTTTCATTCTTGTTATTGGTCTAAGAAGATTTCCTACTTCATGGATTCAAGATTCATGATTCAATATTGGTAACTTGTGCATTTTTAGGAATTATCTGGGTTATTTTTCTAAGTTTGCTTATGGTAACATTTTATCACATTCTATATTTCTGTGGTTATCTGTTGTATTATTTTCTTCTCCATTTCTTTTTGGTTTTTGAATCTTCTCTCTTTTTTCTTAGTTAAAGCATTGCCAATTTTGTTTATTTTATTTTTTTTTAAAAAATTGGTCACTACTTTTCAATGTTATGTTATTATTTATTCTGGTCTCTATTTTATTTAATTCTGATTTTTCTTTGTTAGTTTCTTCCTCTACTAAATTTCAGCTAAGTTTCTTCCTTTTTCTAGTTCCTTGTGGTGTAACATTGTTTATTTGAACTTTTTTTCTTAAAACAGCATTTATAGCATAAATTTCATTCTAACATCTGCTTTTGCTGCATCCCACAGATTTTAGAATATTGTGTTTTCTTTTTCTTATGTGTTGAGACATATTTTGATTTGCTGTTGGATTTCCTATTTGGCCCACTGCCTTTGCAGTAGTGTGTGATTTAATATTTACATATTAAATATTTGATATTTTAAAAAATTCAAAAAATGAATATAAATCAAACTCATTTTTTAAATATTAGTACTTAATGATTAATCATGGGTCAATTATCAAATGGCCTGTTTGTTAGACTTAAATTAAATAAGTTTGAAAATCAGACTTGGTTAAAGGAGACAATGATTAACACTTACTCTCTTTCTTTCCATAAAATTTTTTGGAACTCATCCAGATGAACCTGCAAAGCTGAAATTTCAGGCACTTCACTCTCCAAAGGCAGGGTCATTGCCTGCAGTCTTAATGCAGATTTCAGTGAACAGCTGTCAGAACCACTATTCTTGAATGAATCAGGAGAGTTAAGATTGAGTTTCATCTCCTCATTTAATCTTAACTGGTCAATAATCAAAACTTCTTCCTGAAAAGAAAAAAAAAATAAAACAACTATTGTTAATTTTTTAAATCCAGTGCAGAAAAATCATGAAGAAAACATATTTTTGGAAGGAAATAAATGTTATGATTCAGCATCAAATTCCTATTTTCATTTCTTTATCAGTCTGTAAGAGGTATATGACTGAACTTTAACTTGCATTCCTCAAGATTTTTTTTTCTTCTATGTCCTACATTATAGTGAAATACATTTCAGTCTTTGAAAATTTTTAATTTACAATGGAATCTAGGTTATATCGACAATAAATCCCATACATCATAGAAAGACTTAAAATTTTAGATGGAATTATAGAGGAGCAAGATATGCTATAAACTTTTAGAGGTGGAATTAAATAGAAAGGAGTAACAATAATAACTGATATTATTTAAAGAGATAAAATGAATTCCCAAAGTTTCTGAAAGTATGTTCCATGGGTTGTTAACAGTATTTACCAGGTTAAAAAAAATGGATAAATAATATTATGAACTGCTATATAAAATAAAGTTTTTAAAAAGTTTATTTTGTGCAGAATTCTCAAACACTTCAAGATTCCAATAATACCAAGAAATTTCAAGAGTGGATAATGTGAAGCATTCCATAAAGGTATTTGCTGATGGTACCCATTTTATAGGAATTAATTGTGAGGCCAAAGTCCCAAACCTTGGGAAATGTTTAAACTACTGTAAGAATAATTTATTATTATTGTCATAATTAGGGTAAATGGAGAGAAATCTCTCTAAATAATTTATTTTCACATAAAAAATGCTGAGTTACTTTTTCTTAAAACTATTTCTAAGATCAATAACATGGGCTACTGAATTGTGTCTTACCCTGCCCCCAGTACCTTAGAATGACACTGTATTTGGTATAAGGTCTTTAAAGAGGTCATCAAGTTAAAATGAGGTCATGATGGTGGGCCTAGAGATGGTTTCTCTACAAGGAAATTTGGAGATAAACACAGAGAAAAGGGTGAAGATGACCATTTCTAGGCCAAGGAGAGGTCTCCAGAGGAACCAAACCTGCCAATACCTTGATCTCGCCCTTCTAGCCTCTAGAACTATGAGAAAATAAATTTCTGTTGCTGAAGCCACCCACTCTGTGGCACCTAGTTATGGCAGCCCAAGCAAACAAATGTAGTCACCACTGGGTTTGTCATTTTCCCTTTCCTCCCCAGTACTGTGTATACGGCATTCAAATATGATCAGAATCTCTGGATTCTTCTGCCGAGTTCTTTTCTTACCTTACTATCTGTGTTGTCCTTTGTAGAAAATTCTCTTCTCACCAGACGTTCTCTGATAGACTTACATGTTTGTGAACCAATTTGAAACTGGTCTCCTGGTGCAGAAGGCACTTCTGTGAAACTAGGATGCTTCAGGTCCTGGGTGGTTTCTAACACCTTCTGATGTGGCAAACTTTGTTTCTTTTTCAGTGCACTCAGTTCTTTCACTGTCATCTCTAATTTTATTCTGAGCTGTCTTCCCTCCTCCCTGGCGCTGTTCCTTTCGGCCCGAACTTTGCTCCACTTTTCTCTCCAACTGGCGGTGCAATCTGACCACCACCGCATGGTCTTCTCCATCTGGGCAGCTCTGGCCTTGACTTCCTCAAGCTCCCGCAGGCGAAGCTCTTCACAAATAGTCCACTCACTGGTGTTGCGTGAGTGCACACAGACGTTGTGAGTGGCATGTGATTGCCACCCCTGAAGTGGCAAACAGGAATGACAAGTGTCCCCGGGGGGGGGAGCAGGTGCTACCATGTCACAAGGTGGTTTTATTGATGACTGCGGCATCTGGAAGATTTGTGTTTCCTCAATTAACTGATGGATGGAATCTAAATTCATAGTTATCTTTTCAGGTCTAAGAAAAGACAGAGAACATAATTAACATTTGAGTTTCCCTTGCAATTATAACAGCAAGACCTACATTTGAAAAGCAAGGTTGATGAAAACAATGTATCTTTAAATATTGCATATTTTCCTTTCCACCGTAACTAAAAGTATGGAAGAACTTATGCATTTGTAATTATCCTCAAAAAACCAGAAATTGATACTACATTTTGCCAAATGAATACAAATAAAAATATAAAGATGCAATTGGGAATAGCATATGACATATAACAAATCCAATTCTTTTCAGGTAATATTTACTATAATGCATATTGTCCATTAACTACTCAGTGATCCTCTTTTCCCTGCTAACTCAAGCACAACTTGTTTAAGTGGAAGGCGGAATCTACTGATCTCTGGGAGCATAAGCCCCTATTCTAATCCAGGGGCTAAATCCTAATTGGTCTAACTCTTCCACGATGGCCTCCACTTCACCGACCATTCACTAGTCTCAAGTCATCACAGTAACTGGTTCTGGCTGAGATTTCAGGGGAAATCTGCTGGGAAAGTTTCCAAACTGAAAAACATGAAAAAAATCACAAGATGAGAACCTCTTTTCTTCTGCTTTCTTCCTGCCTAAACCAAGACATGATTCTGGAAGAATTTTATTTATTTTATTTAAAATGGTGGAACAGAAAGAGGAAAAGAGCCTGATTTAATGATTGAGTTGCGTCATGAAATCTAGAATGCATACCTCTGGTTTTCTTGCCATGTGAGAATGATTACCTAACTTTATTTAAGGTGTGGTTGTTGAGTTTTCTGTCACTTGCAGTCAAAGTGACATCAGACTGATACCTGAATTATTTTCATCCCATGGTTAATATTATGATAAATTTAAGAAAATATATTATGAATAAGACATGGTGTTTGTCTTAAAGATTTTGTAGTTCAGTGGATGAGACAAGCACATAAAAATTAAAAATACATATTCACACTATAAAATACATTTATTTATTCCATCAATCTTTTTTAGTACATATTATGTGTCAAGTCAGTGCTAAGTTGCTAAGGTATGTAGGAGGAACTGTAAGGAGCACTGCTCAAGAAGTGATGAACTGTCTCCTAGAAACGAAGAGGCTTCCTGGCATAGATAACTCTGAGGAGTCTTAGCAATTTCAAAGCTTTGTAAAGGAATTACAAGCCACTTTCCATATAAATAACAAAGACTAATTGGTAAAAGCAGACCTACTTATCAGTATGTATACCCATTACTTTATTCAACATAGCTATATCGATGACAGCAAGTAGACCCTTTTCTTTAAAATAAACACTTAAAACATGCAGGTTAATCTGCACATTAATAAAGTTCTGTGGTTTTATAAGATTACCCATTTTTACTATCAAATAAGATTTATTGGTATAAATAGCACTTAACGTACATGACATTAATTCCTCTCATTTTTTATTTGCTTTTATACAGTTACAGATCATAAATTGTCTCATGAACCATCCATTTAATTAACTGAAGGGGTTTCATTATACTAACAACTTAAAAAATGAGGGTTTTTCTCTTTTTAAGATTTATTTATTTATTTTAGAGAGAAGGAGAACACAAATAGGGGGAGGGGCAGAAGAAGAGGGAGAGAGAATTCTCAAGCAGACTGCCCTCTGGGCACAGAGCCTGGTACGGGGCTTGATCCCAGGACCCTGAGATCATGACCTGAGTCAAAATCAAAGAGTCGGCTGCTTAACCGACTGAGCCACCCAGGCGCCCCCAGAATAAATCTTTATATGCTAACTTACAAAGTAAGTCTTTACTGAAAAAAAAAAAAAATTAAATGTATATCACTTTCGAGTTGTAAGAAAAAACACATTTTAACAAGTGTTCTGTAGAGGTGCCAAACCAATTCACTCCTTATTATAACACTTATAATAATGTAGATTCATGGTTGTAATTATTTTTGTTAGCACTGGTACATGTCCAAGCGCATTTGAATTAATGCTGATTTGGAGCAATTGTTCCCTACATTTACTGCAATTCAGAGGGCAATGATAATATGGCTGGCCAAATTTCTAGGACCATTAGTAAACCGAGACAAATATTAAAAAGTAAATAAGGAACTCTTAGAAGCACACCATGTATTTTATGTATATGTTCACATATAATTATACCTATATATGTGTGTGTATATATATATGTATATATTCATTATTCACTATTTAATGATATTTCTGATATTTCCTTTGGCTGGAATTCCAAAATAAAAACAGAAAACTTATTTTATCATATTAAATTTAAATTTATCCTTGCCATTTTTCAAAATAAATCAGTATCATAAAATCATAATGTCTTTAAAAATGTTTCATTAACTTTTATTTCACTATTGTTTTGAAGACTCTATAATTGGATCCTGGTATGTGGAGACCTTGCCTACCAATTAACTATGGATTTTTTCACATCTGACTAAACAAAATTGAGTTGGGTTTAATCATTCAGTCCTTGAACTTGAATAGTTTTTCCTGTTCTAAAGTGTTTCCCAAGCAAGTGTAAATGGGTTCCTCATGTCTTATTTCAATGACTGTGAAAGTATTTGTCCCTGGTTATAGCACAAAGCCTTTGATCCATGAGAAAATATTTTAATGCTATTGACTCTTTGGTTTCTTACTCTGAATTCTGCATTGTCCTTACCACAAAAAGGAGGGAGGGGGCACAAGGAAACTCTTGAAGGTGGTGGATATATTTATTACTTTGATTGTGGTGATGGGCTCACAGGTGCATGTCTACGCTCTAACTCATCAAATTATATACATTAAATATGTGCAATACTTTGTATCTACTACACTTCAATAAAGCATTAAAATGTTCATACAGTCAGGCTACCCTGATGACTGCAAGTATTTTTAATGTCATACATAACCAAATAAATGAAATATGGTGGGTCTACTCTATAAATACTACTCCTAAACATTATTTTTCATGAAAGAGAAGTTTAATGTATAAGACATTGAGTTCCAGATTATATTGATTCAAGCTCTGATTCTGTCACTTCCCACATAGATGGATCTTGGACAAATTACATAAATTGCCTTTGACTCATTATCCTTATCTGTAAGGGAAGACAGAAATATCATTGTACTTCAGTTAGTTCTTGTGACCATTAAATGGAAAAATGCCACAGACTGGCTGGCCCAGGCTGTCTCTTAGGCAAGGTGACAGTTTTCTTCAGTGTTATACAAGTCACTAATATATCACTTTGGACTACTGTATCATTTTTCTTCAGTTTCTTTTCTCTCTTTTAAAAGAGAGATGGTATACTTAAAAAAAAACAAGGATAGCAACAGATAAATGAGATTTACCAAAAAGCTCTTCATTTCATGTAATAAAGGTATAATCAATTTCTATATCATATTCATATTATTCAGTGAAATAGTCAGTGCTACTATTATTATCTCCATCCTAGAAGAAACCAAGGCTTAGGGATCTAACATAACCAGCCCAAGTCATACACTTAGAAGGGGCCGACCCAGTTTGGGAATTAAGGAAATCTGAATCCAGAGCCACTGCCTCCCCGTATCAAAAGCCTACAACTTCAAAATACCTATACACACAATAGCAAAATCATCTTTTAGGTTATTTCAGAAATATATTTGGCAGATTTCCATTTTGGCCATGTTTATGCTCCAATATCTCCCATTAAATCACACCACAATTAGTTAAGTGATCCTGATATTGTGCTTTGAGTGAATTTCATCTCATCATAGCCTAAACGAACTGCAAGTTTGGGGCTTGTAAATCCCCACAGCCTCCTCTCTATCATCCTGCTTCCATGCCCCTTGCTTCGGTCACCCTGATGTGTCCATTCCCTGCACAAACCTCCCCTCAACTTTCTCCTTTGAGCGATCAGATTGCTAAGCAAGAGACTTTCCCCTCTCTCCTCATGCTCACCTCCCCTTGGTTTCTCATCCTTCAGGTTATCAGTTAGTGGGACCTATGCTTGACACTTTCCATCCCTTACAGGCCTGACATCTGAGCAGAAAGTTTACACTGGGCTTCTTCCGTGATACTGAATAAAACAGACATGGACTCTGCCATCCGGGGACCTTGTTAATAACCAAAAGCAATAAATCAAACTAAGACTCACAAAGTTTAACTCTCTTCGAAAGAAATAAACAGTGTATTGTGATTCAACACATACCTATATACTTAAAGAAGTCTCTCTGAAGTGACAGATGTCTTATGTATTATCTGAAGAATGAGGTGGACCAGAAATAAAAGCATTTTTGGCAGAAGTTACACTACCAGGGCAGAATCAAATAGGGTCCAAAGGTATTTTTGTTTTTATTGTTTATACTTATTGCTTTCCATTAACCTATAGGAAATGAATTCCAAATGAAACCCTTCTTGGATTTTTTTTTCCCTAAGAAGCAAAGGACCGCTAATGCACACACAATAATGTTAATAAAAGCCATAAGCAAAGAGTAAATAGATTAATACAGATTCAAAACATAGTGCTAAGAAACAGTTGTTACTTTAGATATGATGCCATACACTCTGATCAAACGTGAAAAAGAAAAATCAGTTTTTAATATTCAGAAAAGTAAAACACCATACTGTATTTTAAAGTGTGGCCCATCAAACATGCACATGTGATTAGTATAATAAAAATGTGTATACTGTATGGGTCTAAAGCAGAAAAAAAATATATTCTTAGGAAAGTTTTGCAAGAGAACACTAAATAGGAAATATAAGACTCCAGTTGTAACAGGAAGGTAAGTGAACAATTACAGCGAACGGCGAGATCACACCACTGCAGGAAAGCTCAGGTTCTGCCCATGAGTAAGTATTATATTTAAAAAAAAAAATCCATACACTATGGCAAATTACACAGGCAGTTATAGTCTATATTTGCCCTGAATGTGAGATTTTGGAACCATATTGAGCCAGGAAATACTTGCACAAAAAGGCAAGTAAATAATATAAAATAAATTTGTATGTTATTTAAAGTTTGGATACTGTTTTTGTTTTTCAAAAGCCTCGTAGTAAAAGCATAAATGAAAACTTTTTAAAACACATATATTTATGTTTCCTATCAGTCATTATCAAATTATAAATTGCATTATCTGATCAATTAGAAATTAACTTTAAAGTATTAGCATGGAATTCATATAAGCCCCACCCTTTTCTTAGCTGACTCTTCCCTGCTTCCTAAGTCTTTAACCTCTTACTCTTCCCCAGTGTTGTTGAAGCCATGTGTGATGCTTCTTTAGTCTAGGTTTTCAGTAAAAAATTATTTGAGAAAAATAATATATTCCTTAGATAATGCTCAATGGTAAAAAAATTAACTCCATTTCTTTAAAAAAATCTATTTCAGGGCGCCTGGGTGGCTCAGTCGGTTAAGCGTCTGCCTTCGGCTCAGGTCATGATCCCAGGGTCCTGGGATCGAGCCTCTCATCGGGCTCCCTGCCCAGCGGGAAGCCTGCTACTCCCTCTCCCACTC